CACACACACACACACACACACACACGACGCGTTACTCTGCGCTGCGCAAAACTCCGCATTTGAACAGTCAATAGCAAATACTTAAACTAATAACAAAACATACTTACAGTCGCTGATTCAGAAGCGCCAGATTGTCATAGCAAAGTCGGAATTTTTTTTTTATTTTTAGAAATGGCCTTTGTGCACAGCCAGCCTTGTACTCTCCTAGGTTCACAAAACTGTCGTCCGTAAAATGCGTTGCACAAATTCGAACATCTGGGTTGTGCTGTTCTGTTGTAAATAAATCTTAACCAATGATTCCTAATTGCATCTACTTCTGGAAGGCCAAATAAAGTGCTTTTGCTTTCGCACTGAAACCCACAGTGTCTCTCTGACATGGATGCATCAACACTGCTGTTCCTGAAACCACTCCTTCTTTCTTTGCGTGCACATTTGGGCGGCATTATGCTAATATTTCCACATAGTGACATAGACATGTGGGGGCGTGTTAGAACGAGCCGTTTTAGGTAGGTGTGGCTGACTCTTAACTTTTATAAAGAATATCTCTTTGGATTTGAGACTTTAGTCTTTGCAACTTTACAGATCTTCTTTATGCACCAAGAGCTTGTAACACTCCAAAGAGAAAGAAAAAATTGAAATCGCATCATATGACCGCTTTAAATAAATAACCTACTGTTTTACGTAGTTTCTTGTTTCAAAATGACACTGAATATTTTTTACTTGAAAACAAGACCAATACTGATTAAAAATAGGATTGCAGTGTATCTTGCAGTTTTAACAAAACATTCTGATTTTACACGATACAAAAGAGCAAATAATAATTTCTCTTTTGTAGTCTGTTGCCCTGCAAGCCTTGAATGTAGCACACAGTGATGTTTTGGTGAATGGGTAAGCTATACATTTATGAAGTGTTGCTTTTTCAACTTTGTTTCTTTTTTCTTCATTTAGAGGTGCAGGAATTTCTACGATTCTTTGTTTGCTGTCTGTACCAACAATCCACGCACTCTACAGCATCTGGCCAGATGTGCAATACGAGCTGCAATGTCAAATCGCTGTGAACTGGGTGTCCAGCATCTCCTTCTTCCTTCATCAGTGAAGAAATACTTGCTTCTGGAGCCTGTAGGAATCATATACTGACATTGTTTCTGCATTATACCTTTATGACTATTTCTTCAAATTCGAATTTTGTTACAATGCAAACAATGCTGCAAACTTGTTTACTTCTTGTTTTCAAAAGATTTTTTCTTTATTTGATCCTTTACCAGGGAACAATTAGATGGCTGATGTATTTAATATTAATGTGCATTATTAAAAATAAATATTTAATATTTAAATAATGAATAATTTGATTTTAATACTAATAATATTTAATATATTCCAAATAGTACTTCTAAATATTATACATTCAAAAGTTATTGGTCTTTCCACTCCATGCATATAAAAAGCCTTATGTTTTAATGAAAGACTATCAAGATCTGCTCTACATAATCAAACTCAGGTCTTAAGCTTGTCAGGCTAAGACTGTAGATCATTTTTTGAGGGGGAAATGAACAACAGAAAGCCATATTTAGCATAAGAGGATAATATCAGGGAGTACGCCAACAGCACATTACAGATAACAGCTGAATAGGATGAGATGTCTAAGCCATTAGTCCTTTTGTCAGAGGAAAAACTGAAGTGCTTGATGAGATAGTGAGAGCAGACACAGTGGTCATGGAACCTCTTTAGATGGGCCTTATTAGTTTAAGCTATAAAGGAGTTTTTAAAGGTCATTTTTGACAAGTTAAATCACTTAGAGGAATTTTAGGATAAAGGTAATATGAATGATCTTTATGAATGTTTGTAATTCTGTGGACTACAGTTTTACGTTCCCTAATAGTGATTATTATACCTTACCCCAATAAGTACACATTCTCATTTTTTGATCAAATCAAATAAAAACAAAATAATCAGTTTTAGGTGAACGAGTCATTCTTGTTCACTTCTGTGGAGCAATTGAAGCTTAATTTGAAAAGTTAAGGACTTTAATAAAACTTGATCTTGAACGACAGGTGATTTTAACAAACTGAATTTCCATGACTCGCTTATCTTACGAAAGACTATTTTTGCCACCTTCACTGGCATAACGATGGAAGTGATTCATGAATGAACCTGAGCAAATCTTTTTTCTGAATGGATTCAGCAGAATCGAGTCACTAAGATGAACCTAATTTCCCACTATACAGTGTAAGTTTACTGTACAGTATGTGTTTCAGTACTCACCGACCATGTTTTTAGGTAGCTACTTGTTAGCTATATTTAATAAACAAGTACACAGGAGACAGGGATATGTACAATAAAAATCTGCTTATACAAATTCCGTACGGGCTTTTTTTCAGTGATATTAGAGGTTCTGTGACTAAATTTATGTTTGTCCTTTCAACCTATGAGATACAGTATCACTGTTTGAAAATCATTGGCCTCAGCACTTGGTAAACTATTTTTGAAGAGTGGAGGTGCTCTTTTCATTCTAGTCGGCACTAATTTAAGGTTGCCATCTCCTTTAATGAGTTCTGTGATTACTGAGTCGTGTGTGAGTTTAGGATAGTACTGTATCTCTCTGTACCCCACACAATATTACCTGGAAGCAATGATTCTTCCTCCCAGAAGACGGCCTGTTTCCACTCATTCTCCACAGAAGAGATACAACAGAGAAACAGCCACCAACAAATCAACCTCTGACCCTGTAATGCTACAGACCAACTTTTATTTTGCGTTGTATGAGATTAAATTATATTTTATATTTTAAGCACAAAGTGATAATCTACGGAGCCCGGGAAGTCACCTGTAGGAGAAAAAAAACAATCCGTGGCGACGGTTTTGCAATCCGTCCCCTCAGTTTATAAACCGTACTCACAAAACTGTGTTTTATAGTCTAAAATAAACGCTAAGAAGAAGAATAGAAAATTTCCTGAGTTTTCTAAAAAAAAAAAAAAAAAAAAAAAAAAACAAAAAAACAAAAAAAAAAAAAAAAAAAAAAAAAAAAAAAAAAAAAAAAAAATACAAACCCGAGGGAACGGATTGCGAAAGCGTGCGCACGGATTATGAATTTGTGGGTACGGATTCAAAATCCGAAGGTACGGTTTACAAAATCTGAGCGCACGGATTGGAAATTCGTGAGTACGGTTTATTAATCCGTGGGCACGATTTGTTAAACCGAGGGAACAGTTTAAGAATTCGTGAGTACGGTTTATAAACTGAGGGGACGGATTGCAAAACCGTCGCCACGGATTGTTTTTTTTTCTCCTACAGGCGACTTCCCGGGCTCCGTAATAATCTAATAATCAAGTCCTCAATGTAGAGGAAAATCACTGTGTATGTTAGTTCTTATGGAAATTAGGGACTAGCAGCAGTTGTGCGGTTTTAAAAACGGTACATTGTGTGACTGACAGGTCGTCATTCTTCTGCATTCACAGAAGAATGTCCTGTGAAACTCTGAATGAAAGAGTTAGCACCGCAAATGAAATGCATGGTGTCTTATAAGCAATGTGAGATGTGGAAGACAAAAATGCCCTTGTTATTCAGACTGTAGCATTCATAAAGTCAATTATCAACCCTTTGATAAAACCAAGCGTCTGAAATACCTTAACAGTCACATAGATGGTTACCCAAATTAACTCCACTATAGTTCAGTCCTTATGTTTATCGTATATGCTTCTCATTCCTCTCAAACACTGTACTCGTACTTTCCTAGTTTCTTGGGCTCGCTGCTCGGGATGCACCAGTCGTCTGCCTCCATGCTCGTTTGATAATGCCTTAAGGCTGACTTGTTGAAGACAGGAAGTCTTTCTATTGATTCAGTGGATAAGGCCTGTTAAAAAACGGGGAAAACAAATGAGAAAGATTTTTAACATATTTGTAAATTGGTATAGAATTTAATCCAAATTCAAAAAATGTGGTAATATGATAGGTAGGTAGGTATATGCGGTAGAGCTGGGTGATATGGCAAAAAAAAAAAAAAACGTATTTATATATATATATCGTATTTTTACGATTTTTTTACTAGTCAACTTGAAAATGTAACTACAACATGATCCAAGTAACTTTTTCTTTATTAACCCTCCATTTAAATAAAATTCTAATCCAAGTGCACCACACATGAAGTTGTCAACATGACGTAAATGTTAAGCAAATCACTTGTTAAATATCTTTGCAGAAAGGATGCATGAATTACAACTACGTCTTGTACAAACTTGTCTTATACATATTATATGTTCAGAAATAATATGAGGAAAATGCTTTAAAAAATTCTCAAAAGTCAAAGTAATTCAAATTCAAAATGTTCAAATTCAAAACATTTTGAATTTGAATGACCTTGACTATTATTAACTATAAATGTACTGTAAAAACAATGAACAGCAGCTTTCAGACTGTCACCATGATGCAAACATGAAATATCAGACATACAGTAGTAGTTCTTTACAGGTTTTTTATTCGATTGCACTGCTTTTGCATAAATTTTTCTATGTAAACATGGACGCGTTTGACTTTTGCGCTCGCGTCTCGTGCATGAAACGGCATTCTAAAAATGTGGTGCTCAAGTTAAAAGAAGTTCAACTCCCATTTTCTTGTATTTTTTCCTATTCCATTTCCCGCGTTGAATCTTTGTCAACACAAAAGCGCATTCTGTGTGAATGGCAACTAGCTATATATTCTACTTCACAGAGCGCGTCACACCTGAGCGGTTAATCATGTGCGCCGACATGTGGTTGGATCATTCTTTTCTCTTTACTGTTATCATTGGAATATTGTGAAAGTGTCAAATTCTATCTTTTCTATTCCAAATCGTGATTCCTTGATTTATAAAAATAAAATTATGGCAAAACATTAAATTAGAAATTAATCGATAAAATCTGAAAAATCGCCCAGCCCTAATTTACAGTAGTTCGGCAAATTTTTGCAGGTGAAATGCAATTAATTCAATAGGAGTCCAGGTGATTGGGAATATCACAAAAGCTTTCCCCACACAGATTTCGCAACAAGTTCAAGTTGGTCATACAAATTAACCAACTGACCTTGTTAAATTTGAGACGGCACCATAAATGGATGGTCCACACAAAAATAAAAATTCTGTCATCATTTACTCACCCTCATGTCCTGCTAAACTTTTAAGACTTACTTTCTACCCTAGAACATAAAATAAGGTATTCTGAAGAATGTTGGTAACCAGTTTTGGTTCCAACTAGGTGGCCATATGTGCCATTTATACGGGACACGTCTTGGCCAGGGTTTTTATATTGCCTAAAACATCCAAAGTAGTTTGACCAATAACATGCAGGTATTGTACATAATCGACCAATCGTGGTGCGTGAGAAGGTGAGATCTACAGAGAACGATCAAAACCATGCAAATATGTGCACGTGTTTGTTTGTTCGTTTCGACTTGAAGCGGTGCTGCGCAGTCCGATCATTGTAAGACACCAAAATACCGCGAGAGTGATTCGAAAGCATAAGGAGCCGTCTGCTCTGCTCTCAGTAGCTCTCGTGAATGTCATACAACGATCGAACTGCACAGCGCAAAGAGCCAAAACCTGGATATTTTAGGCAATATAGAAATCCTGGCAGGGACGTGTCCCATAAAAATGGCCCGTATGGTCACCCTAGTTCCAACTGACTTTCAGTGACTGGACAAAAAAATGGAACGCCAATAGAAAAGGAAACCATTTGGTTACCAACATTCTTCAAAATATCATCTTTTGTGGTTTGCAGAAGAAAGAGTCATACAGGTTTACACGTACAAAGAAATTCAGAAATTCAGCTTCAAATCAGTCACTTATGAGGACACTTCCTACATAAGTAGTAAACAGTGAGGCAGTTCACTAGGTAGTGCTAGAGTGTACCTTTAGGTATATGACTGCCGACGTGCCGTATCCCTCCATAGAGTAGAGCTGCAGATCTCCCTGGAAGTACTTGGCATAAAGGCGGGAAATAGGAAGACCATAGCCAAAACCAGCCTGCAAAGAAAGCAAGCCATAGTAAGTATGTGAGAGAAAGAGAAAACATTACAACTGCATTACAATACTAATCTGGTATAAACAATAAACTGAACTGTTGGTAATTCTGCTAATTTATAACTGTAAGTTCACAGTTTACTTAAAAACATGACTGTGGATCAAAGATTTACCATGTGGTATCATTGCACAACAAAGACAATCTGCATATAGTATGTTTAATTAGACAGCCTAGGTTCTTACCAGGGGAGCATTACGGCTGTTTTCAGCCACAGGACTCGGTGCAGTTGAATACATGTAGCTGAAAAGCCTTTCAATTTTCCTCAAAGGAACTCCACCTCCTCTGTCAGACATCTAATACAACACAAGGGTCATTACAAACATGTTTGGCTCTCACCGCTCTTGCAAGTATGTTGCAAGTTAAAATAGAGATAAAATATTAAACTTTTGCTGACCCGTTACATCTGTGCATCTGAAAAAGCATTAATGCTGAGGTGTTGAAAAAAGCTCACCTTGATGGTCAGATCTTCACTTCCTAGAGAAACTCTCACTTTGATTGGTGGTAGATGTAGGCTGGTCTCATGGGTTTCCACAGTTGCTCTCATTGCATTCTGTTACAGAGAAAAAAAACACACATTATCATCAACTGCTTGATGGTCAAGTTAATTCAAACCCATTTGACTTTCTTACTTCTGTGGAACACAAAAGGAGACGTTTAGCTGAATGTCAATGCAGCTCTTTTCCATATAATGAAAAAGCCCAAAACGTACCATTGAATGGTCCATATAACTTGTTCACTATATTCCAAGTCTTCTGAATCCATACAATAGCTTTGGATAAGGACCAGACAAAGTTTTAGTCATTAATCACTGAAAATCTAGCTCTTAAATCTCATTTACACTTGCACATATTTTTGTTTTGTAACTAATTTCGACGTATTAACATTCTGTAAAAACTAATTTTGTGCTCTGCAGAAGAAAATAAGTCATACAGGTTTAGAACGACATGAGGGTGAAGTTATGGTGATGCATTTGCCTCGTTTTTACTTTGTTTATATAAGTCTATCATTGTGTAGGCTATAGCTACTATAAAGTGGTTCAAGTACCTTGAAGAGCTCAAAGAGCATGTGGTACAGATGAGAAGGCACATAAACTATATGTATAGGGTCACTGGATCCTTTAACTGTGAAAACAACAGATATATCAATTCAGTAACAGTTGAGTAACCCAAAAAACAAGGCCATAACATGCAGGCCCACATTAATTTTTTATTTTAAGAATGCAAAGAAGAAATCAACACTGGCATGCTGCCCAAACTAGTCAGGTATGAAGCACATGATAGAGGTTATGCTGGCTAATTTGTTACTATGTGTTGGTAAAAAAACGCCGCAATGGTGGTCACTCAACCTTGTAGGTTCTCTTTGCTTGACACAATAGTACATTGCTATTTACATGTCTAAGAGATAAAACGAGAGATCATGCCAACATTTTTCCATTATGTAACTAAGTACACAGCGCTGTTCCTATCATCCATTTCTCCATAGACACACAGTGATAAGATTATAAAGCGCTATTTCTGTCTACACCGATAAGTGATTAAAAAACGTACTAAATGTGGTTGCATAATAGTTAACGTTTCTAATAAAAACAAATTAAAATACTCTATGCTATTATTTATTACTATCAATCCACATTATGCATCTTATTGTACTTATACTGTAAATGTACATTACAGTGACACTGCCATTCTAATGTTTGGGGGTCTGTAAGATTATTTTAATGATTTTGAAAGAAGTCCCTTATACCAAGGCTGCATTTATTTGACCAAAAATACAGTAAAAACCGTAATACTGTGAAATATTATTACAATTTAAAATAACTGTTTTCTATATTAAATGTAATTTATTCCTGTGAAGGCAAAGCTGAATTTACACCAGCCATAACTCACGTTTTCAATGTTACACGATCCTTCAGAATTCATTCTGATATGCTGATTTGCTGCTCAAGAAACATTTCTTATTATTACTTATTATTATTAATGTTGAAAACAGTTGAGCTGATTAATATATTTATCTTTTTTAGGATTCTTTGAAAATAGTAAGTTCAAAAGAACAGCATTTATTTGAAATAGAAATGTTTTGTAACATTATAAATGTGTTTATTGTAACTTTTGATCAATTTAATGCTCTCTAGCTGAAAAAAAAAATGTGAAAGTTGAATTTCAGGTCATGCTTGGCTGATAAGATTTCACAGCATACCCATAATCCCCACCCAACACATTTTGTTGGCACCATCCCACACTGTCAAACAACTACAGTCTAACATGGAATCAATAAGACTGTAAATAAGCAAATAAGTGTAAACAAGACTGTAGAGAGCTCCACTGCAGAGTTCAGGTTTTCTGACAGTTCATGACTCACCATGCACAGGACACACAAAGACTGAAAGTCTGAGAGAAAAAAATTCTCGCACACAGTTCACTTGTTTGATTTCCACTTCAGGAGAGGTCAAGTAGTACTGATCACACAGCATCTTGGCACTCTCATAGGCATCTAGAGAGAGAAAGTGTGAGACACGGTATGAGTTTGCCCATGTAGGGCCTACAATGTCCATTACACCCACAGTTTATTGTCTTTCTTTGACAGAGTAAATAAAAGTGTTACACAGGCAAGAAACATGGGTAATTACCTTTTACAACCTCCACAACGTCACAGTTTGGGTCGATACTGCCAATGTGTTTGGGGTGGGCTGGATTGGTGCTGCCATCGAAGATTAACGCTAAAATGAACACATATTTTAAATACATTTTATTTGTAGGAATGCATGATATATGGGTACTACATTGGTTATTTTCATAGTTTAATGACTGTTAATTAGCTGTATTGGATAACATTAGATCTACACTTCTGTTCAAAAGTTTGGGGTTAGTAACTTTTTTTTAAAGAAATTAACATTTTATTAAGCAAGGACACATTAAATTCATCAAAAGTGACCGTAAATACATTTATAATGTTACAAATAACTTCAATTTAAATAATACGGCTCTTTTGAATAGTAGTGTATATAAGTCAATAGTAGATGTTTAACTGCATTTGCTTATTTCCCCTCTTTTTGCATTTAATTTGCCATCATCTAAGGCTCACTTAAAGTTAATCTATAAAAGCACTGATAATTTCATAACACTGTTAAAATCTTTAGTAAATCTCAAAATGAATATCCATTTTCTCATGCTGTGCAATATAATGCCTGAATTCACTGAAAGCATTTAATTTTGAAGTATTTAGACAAAATAGTACAGAATTTTTAAATATATTTTTTATTCATTGGTTATGAAGCTATGGAACATTACATTATCAGCAGATGGTTAATCTATTGTTTCAGCTGAGACAAAAATATCCATCCTGCTTGGCTAGGGCTTTAGTACATGTCCTGAACACTTACAGTGCTGATTCATCAGCATGCGTGTGGAGATTCGGCTCATGTAGAAGCGGTCCAAAAAATACTGGACGTTCTGATTGGTCACGGGATCCACGCCAAAGGCCTCCTTGTACTCCAGCACTCCCTGTGCCATGGTGGGCACCACATTGTTGTGCCTGTTCCTGACATTGATCAGTGTTTCTGTGAATCTAAGAGACACGCCATCCAGTTAAACACACTATTAGAGCTGCAGCCAAGTTAAACATGAACTAAACATGAGTAAGATTAATGACTTTGGATTTCCCAGAATGCTCCTGAATACTGTACTTACTTAGTTAGGATTTTTTTATCATCAGGGTCTTTCTCCAAAAAGTCAACAAGCTCCATCAAACTCTGCGCATACCTGTTTTTGAGAGTAAACAAACATTCAGGGTTTATTTTTAGACTGACTTAAATACAACTCAATTTTATTTGATGTGATTTATTAATTGATTAATAAATGAACTTTGTTTTCTGTTTTGTTTTTTTGACTGAATGAAAACTTGAATTTCAGTTTCAGAGTTTTGATAAAAAACATAATAATTTAGGTGCACCACTATTTCCAAATGAAACAAAATTGAATTAAATCGAATGAGATGAGAATCAAATTGCATAAAAATTTAATTGTACCAATACCCAGCCCTATTTGAAACACAGCCATAATGCACCACACATTATGTAATACTGTGTATTGTTTCCTTTGAACAACAAAGCCAATGTAGTTGTTTATCTGAATGGCTAATGGAGGTGCAAAGCACTGACAGGTATTTATTCTAACCACTGATCCAATTCTTATCACTGCTTTCCCAAAGCTGAATGGTGATTAAACAGCTTTGCATAGATAATTTAATGCTTAGAGTCAAATCAAGCCCGCCATGTGACTTTTGGCAAGGGAGATGTGCTGCACAGAGAACAACAGTCTTACACGTGACACAGTGAACGCACTGTACTAGCTACAATCCACCTGACTGACAGTGTTCTGTGTCAGTGAGCCGCATTGTCAAAGAGGACTTGTTTACACTGAGACATCTAGGAAGGCTGCAGCGCACACTTGTTTGTGTTCAGTGTCTCATGCTACCTGACACCGCATAACATTTTGATGAACACATTTGAAAGTTACATTTAGTTCACATTGTGATCTCAGCATAATTCAAGAGATTCTAGAGTTTTGAGGACAAAGGACCCTGAAACAAATGGACTATCACATATGAAGACTTAAAACTCGAGTTATAAAAATATTAACAACAAAAATAACAACAAATCTGTTTCATATAGGAAAGACCAAGGGCAATTGTAGCATTTTGTACATTGTCCTTCATAACTCACAAACTATTACAAATCTACCTATTATTTATTGGAATAATGTAATATAATATTACAGAAATACATAATAAATATTTTGTTTAAAATAAATAAAACATACTAAAAAGAAATCTAACAAAGAATATGTATAGTACATAAATAAATAAATTTGTTGAAAATTCATACTTTTTTCTCAGGCAGAAAGAAACCTTAAGCACTCCACGGAGCATAATGCAGAGTTTCACAACATTTGCTTGTTTGTGACTGAATAAATGTGTGTGTTACTGTCCCGGTATCATGTATAGTTTTCATAAAAGCCTCTGAATCCAGCATAGTCAGCGGAAAAAAGTTCCGTTTACATAATGCCCACAATTGCATAATTTTCAATGCATTCCAGTTGACTTGTTGAACACAAAGCCTCTGCTAAACTTTGTAAGACAAAGGTCAATAACTACGACAGCTCATTTTGAACTTATAAATCATTCTGTCCTTCAAATCCAGTCCATTCAGAAGTCTATTCTTGAACAGAAATCCTTTCCATGAAGAACAAGAACAATCACCTGCACATTTACCCCACTTGAAAACCAGTACTCTGTCAACTATTAAATACATGTTATTCATCATTTTCTCATTCAATTTTGTTTTAAACCTTTTGCTTTCAATAGAGAAGAGTGACAGAAAAGTTCACAGGAAAAGGATCAGGATGTGACAAAGGTCAGGCTCTGACCTACATCCTCATGAGAACAACTCTTACATGTCTCAAACATGTTCTACTTGCTAATATTAAAATAGCATATACCTACAAACACTTATTTTGGCTATTCTAATTGATTTATGTTTTACTTTTAACAAACTAGCTAAGAAAGATCGTTACTTATCTGGTGTGTGGATTCCTTAAATGACTTCTTTTATGGTGTAAAAAAGCCAGCTGTCTATCCATCATCTTTGTTTTCATGATTTAAACTGCATTAATGAATTTGACCTCAGATTCAAGTTTCAGAACACTACTAACTTTTATATATCCATATGCATTTTAGCCTAAAGATGAACAGAAACGTTATCTGAAAACACATTACTATCCAACCTGGAGTAGCTAGAATGGTGGCTAAATAATTCTAAAAAATGCTGATGAAGTTTGGTGATATCCTAAGTTTTTGCTAAGAGGTTGTTACAATGTGCTGAATCAACATTTCACACCAAACACGCTTGCTGTATGTCTAACAGTAATAAATGTTACAGAAACATACCAACTTTTATTTGCTCTCCAACTTACAAGGTCCTTATCTAAAAGACTTCATGGTCACCTTTCGTTTGAAGTCATGTGCTGCTCACTATAAGTCATATACAGTATGTCATATGAGTTGTAAAAACTTTATAATAGAGAGCCTAGAGTAGGCAGAAATTCATCACACTGGAGCATGTGGCACTTCAGGGAGTCTAGAACAGCATGTCAGCTGTGGATCTCACCAGCTATGAAGCAGCTTCAGTGAAGGAGTGCTGAGCAGTTTGTCCGGGAGGAAGTCGATCTCCTTCATGATGTTGGCTAAACGGACAGGAAGCTCTTGCCTTAAAAACATGAAGGAGGTCTTTTCACAGGCATTGGCTGATCCTGCGAGCAAGACGGGACTACATTAGTAAGAATTTTGCTCTTGAACTTGACATGTACGGCATACCTGAAAATCCCTATACAGTTAAGACCAATATTTTGGTGTAATCCCTAACAAGACATCAGTTTGAACATTTGTGTAGACTTCTAAATGACTGTGGATTTTAGAATTAAGCTTTGTAATATGAGATGTTATGTAAAATGACACTTTAGATTAGAAATGTGTATATTTTAAATATTGTTATTGTTAAATATTGTTTTTAATGACAGTTGTCTTTAAGAACCTGTAACAATGCAGAAAAGTTAATAAAAAACAGACAGTTTTTAAGAATGACTTCTTACCTCATTGTGTAGATGCACTTAAGGTTAAAATATAATAAATATATGTGTACAGCTATTAAAAACAACATCAATGGTACAGTTTATTTTGTGAGGTGATATTCAATTTATATATCATCAAACAACTATATTTAAGTCATTTGAGAGATTTTTTCATGCAATCTCTTCTACCAAATAACAGTAAGAGGAAGGTTGTGTCTCAAAACCTAGAGAGCTGCCTATGTAGACGTCATGGTGTGCACTACAGCTGCATACAATATTGCATAAGTAGATTTAGGCTGTTTTTACGAAAAATACAATGTTATACATGGTACAGTAATGGTAATACTATGGTATTTTGATAAGGTATACGACATATTCCCCATGATACACGTAAGAAGAAAAAAAAACATAAAATTACCATAATACCATTTTATAATATGCCCTTGTTACAACAAAAGTGCCTTTATACTTTTTATTAGTGAGCTCACTAGTAGACTTTCAGACACAACCACGACGAGTTGGCTCCATCAGATCCATTTCAAACGGGTAAACAACTCACCAAAGTCAATGAACTGCTTCATTGACAGCGGGGACGGAGAGTACTTTGAAAATCTGTCCACTTGTTTAGGTATGTTCAGCTTTGAGCTGTTCTTCAGCATGATCTGGGCGAACTTCATGTTGATGTTCAAGTGAAATCCACAGTGTTTGAAACGTTCTTCTCAGCGAGTTATTGTCCTCGTCTCATCAGACGCAGTTCGCAAAGTTTGACATTCTAGCACAGCCTGTTACTTCATCACATAAATGAAGATCTCCGCTGAAATCCGGTGTGATCGGACTGTCCGGTGGAAGAGTCCTCCTGAATCGCTCTAATTCGGTTTAATTTGTCATTGCACCAAAATAACTGACCAGCACAAGGAACAAAACAGGGTACAAACATAACACAAGGGAGGGAGGGGAGACGGAAGACTGTTACTCCAATCTGCATAGAGATAGTACAATAGAGTTTAACCAACACAACGTGTTCTCTCTTTCTATTCTTATCGACAGGTAAAAAGCTATCATTGCATTGTATAGTAGTTAATATAAAGAGACTGATTATATGATTTTGTCATATGCTCTTTCTTGTGCAGCCACCAGAAATGGGCTTTGCTTTCTACATGCCATGCATCTATATCGCCCTGCCTTTGACGCATGCGCACAGCTAATGTAGAGCAAAGGTCTTTGGGAGTGGGGCTGAGACACACTTTTTTAGTCATCTTTAGTGGTGTATTGTACAGCGTGTTCCGCATCCTCTAAATCAGTGTTTCCCAACCGACGTGCCGCTATACCGTTCATGAGAATCGGAACAGCAAAGTCCACTCAAAAATTGAGCCGACAGGAAACATCGATGTAGTACAGTATTGTTTCTGTCTGCAATAGCCCTACTGTTGACTGAGGGGACAAATCACTTATAATAACCTCAATTAGTTCCTTTAATGCGACAATATAATAGGCTACAATACATTGAGAAAACCTTTAAAAAAAAAGGATGAAAACTGATTAAATGCGAATTTGTAATTCATGTAGGCCTATTTAGTTTCAGGGTTATCAATACTAAAGGAAAAAATATTAACGAAAAAAAAAATCATTTGTACAGAGTATACAATAATATAAAGTATGTGATATTAAGATTCCAAAACAGAGGCTTTACAAAAAATATTATTACAATCATAAACTGTTTTTCATCACCCCTGTTAATCTAGTGATTTCTATTTTAAAATTAGTGCAATCATTTTTTAAATAATTTTATTTATTTATTTATTTATTTTACAGTGACCATTTACTGTACATTTTAGGCACATTTCGGCTGGTCAGGCTGAGAAACCTGTAGCCCAGTTTAAACCAGCAAACGATCTTTAGGCTGGTTTCTAGATATTTTTAGCAGTGTTCTGAATGACAAAAGGCTAAACTGCCTTGCTCTTTTGGACTATGGTTCCATCTAGTGGTGTACAACCATTCAAACGAACCTAATGTATACATCTGTAGTTTGTGTACATCAATGCAAAAAAATAACAAATCCGCTAGGTGGCACTGTTGCAGTGGATTAATTTATTTCTACATTATAACAGCATTTTGGAAAGGGAGAGCTGGGATCTTTTAGTTATCTCTAGGTAGCAAGGCGGTCTATGAGAATCTTGCCACCTCTGAAAAATGTAGGCCACTAGCCTTACATTTTGCCAACAGCTTTGATGAATTTCTAAACGATCGCATCGTATAATCTCAAACATGTTTTAATCGAAGGGCCGCATTAAAGCGGATGGCAGACTGTGTGCATCAGCAGTGATACAGCATATTTACAGTGGACAGCAGCCACACTGGGAACAGGTAGGAAGTGTCACACACACCGGGTGCATGTTTCTCACGCTCACATAACTGTGAGGTTTCATACGTGCATTTTGTTGTGTTTCATGCTTTATGTTCGATGACTTAATACTCGCATATGGTTTATGATGTCATTGTGCTTCTCTTGGTAGCCTACCCACTGTTAGCAATAGCAACGCTGACATCATTTGTATATCCAAATGTATCATTGTGACATCTGTGTAATATATCTGGATTTTAAATAATTGTTTATTTTATAACTCTGTAATCGAATTGGAGTCTGTTATGACAACAAAACCAAAATTATGATACATGACAGTCCACCTAATGTAGCATCTTCCTCATAGACAGCTATGTCCGGATCTTATGAACCTGTCCACATCATAAATGTGACGTTTGCATGATAATTTGCAATCAAAATATATGTTTTTATTTATTGATTTGTGTTTTTATTTAATGCATTTACATTTTGTTTTATGTTTTAATTAAGCTTTAATAAAGCTTTCCCCCACAGTCTGATATTGTTTTGTTTTTATTACCACTCCTTTTCATTTTTTTAAATCATATGATAAAGCCTAGTATTTACAGTTTTGAGAAGTATTATTCTTAGATCATATAGATACAGTCATCTGCCACACCCTTAAGCTGTCTTGAAAGGGCGCAAAAGTCCTAGTGTAATGACGCGGACTTTAGACTGTGAAAAGGAGCATCCTGCAGATGAGGCATTAAACTGGCCTCCTGACATTCTGTTGTCATGAATACCGCACCTCAATTATGAATTTGACTTTATTTACTTTTTGAAGCTGGTAGCACATTCTGATGGCTGGTAGGCCGTTGTGAAAAACTAGCTTGCTGCTGGAGCTAGTTTTAGTCCGGCCAGCAGGGGGTGAGCATTCCCTGACTTGTATGGGTGCAAAAGTCTCAGGATAACGAATCAGACTTCAGAATGTAAAACGAAGCAACCTTTTGATAAACCGTTAGACCGGCACCTGTAAAAAGGAGCGTCGTTCAGATGAGGCATTAAACTGGCCTCCTGACATTCTGTTGTCATTAATTCTCCACCTTAATCATGAATTTGACCTCATTGTTTAAGCTGGTAGCGCATCCTGATGGCTGCATTGAGCTTGTCAGGATGTGCTACCCCTCTATTAAAGCAGCTTTATTAAGGCGCAGACTACGAACGCAGCTGTGGCATGCAGTAGGCAGTGTCTGGTTCGTCACTAAATCTAAGCATGCCAGGGCCTGGTCAGTACACTGGTGGGAGACCATTTGTGAAAATATAGCTTGTTCCTGCAGCTAGTTTAAGTCCAGCCAGCAGGGGGTGATCATTCCCTAAGAGTGACCTAAAAGCCGAACTTGAGCGTAAGAAACAGCGCCTTGCTCAAATCAGAGAGGAAAAAAAGAGAAAGGAGGAAGAAAAAAAGAAAAAAGAGGTGAGATAATATTTTAATGAGACTAATTCAGAATGTGGTAAGAACTTTATATGAATATCTGAGTATGTGTGCATTTGTAAACAGTCAGAGACACAACAGAAAGCAGAAGCTGCTCCTGAGGATTCAGATTTGCACTGCAGGCACAGGGGGACCAAGGCCCTCCTCGAGCATTGGAATCTCACCCGAACCTCCATTAGGTACAGTACACAGACCACTGGACCGCATTGAAATATCCATCTGCACCGCAGCCACCTCACTCAACAATGCCTGTCTCCGAAACACTTCAGAACATTGCCTTTTTACCTTTGCCAAGATCAGGCTGTGTAATATTCTGGGTTTGCTTCAAGTCTCTGAATAGGACTTCATCCAAACCTCTTTTTAGACGGGCTTTTCCATTCTGCATTTCAGTCTTTTTGCTACACTGTATACTTTTTGCTACGTCCTGAATTACTAATCCTGTCAATGTTGTTTTGTAATTGCTAATGTAAGTACTAAGGTTTATCCAACAGAATAGTTATTTTCAACTGCCCAGCAAGTCACACAAATCTCTAGACGTTAACAATACACTAATTAATGAAACATGAGCAAATTAAGAAGCTTCTTATCTCACCACCCTGCTGGTTTTGTGACAGTCATGTAATCCTTTTCTTTGCTACTATTGCCATCTAGTGCAGAGCTATGTACATTACAAAGATGGGCTCCATACTTACCGGTATAACTTTGCTTTTTAAATGAAATCTTATTGTGCATAGTATAAATTAGTGCAGTATAAATATTATACCTTTGTTTATAAAGTAGTTGGTTAAAATGTATTTGAAATTAAACAACATTTTGTATCTGACTGTCTTTTTGTCTTTTCATAGTCCCGACACCAATGTCCCCATCAAAATCAATGAGCACACCCAGCGAGACATGCAGCCATCGGTTGATGGAGCAGCTGCTGGCAGGTATTTTAACACCCCGAAACCTTCATATATGACCATGTACCTTCAGTAGACATCAATCATTAATGTTTTTAGTATTTGAGAGTAAAACAAATGCTTTTGCCAATAATAAAGTAGGGTAAACAATACAAGTTAAAGTAAGGCAATACAATGCAAGTTAATAACAATTTATTTTATTTTATTTTTTACTGTAAATTATCTTTATGCACTACAGTTCAAATGTCTGGGTTGCTAAGATTTTCAGATTTTTGAAAGAAGTCTTTTATGCTCACCAATTGAAATATTTAATATGTTAATATTAAATACATTTAAATATTTAATCTATTTTCAAATGTAATTTATTCCTGTGACGGAAAAGCTGAATTTTCAGCATCATCATTACTCCAGTCTTCAGTGTCACATGACCCTTCAGAAATCATCCTAATATGCTGATTGGTGCTCAAGAAACATTTCTTATTGTTACAGATTGAAAACTGTAACACTGTGTGTTGAAAACAGCTGTGCTGCTTCATAATTTTGTGGAAACAAATTTTTGTAATTTATGATCAATTTAATGTTTTATTGATTAATAATTAATTGATGATTAATTTCTTCATTCTGAACATATATATATATATATATATATATATTATATTTTATAATGTAGTAGAATACATTTTATTTAAAAAATATATCATTATTTTATAATAATTTTGATAAAATTTTTTGTATTTGAGTGGGAACATTAAATAAGAATTTAAATGTCAGTTCAGAAATAAAATATTCTGTTCTAATCTTTGTTTTTCAAATACTAAACGTGTTTCTATGTTAACGGGATAGTTCACCCAAAAATGAAAATTCTGTCATTAATTTCTCACCTTCATGTCGTTCCAAACCTGTAAGACCTTCGTTCATCTTCAAAACAGAAATTAAGATATTTTTGATGAAATCCGAGAGCTCTCAGACCCTGTATAGCCTGCGACACAACTGAAATGTTCCCAGGTCCAGAAAGGTGGTAAGGACATTGTTAAAATAGTCCATGTGGCATCAGGAGTTCAACCGTAATTTTACAAAGCTACAAGAATACTTTTTGTGCGCAAAGAAAACAAATTTACAGACTATTTTACCGATGTCCCAAAATTTTCATTTTTGGGTAAACTATCACTTTAATAGCTTTTGTTTAAGCAGGAACAAGTTATTTTGTAACACAAGTGTGACTGATTTTTTTTTTTTTATATGGGCTCAACAGATATAGGTAAGAATCATTCTGTGGTTAGTGGGCATCTAGAAATTGATAACTAACCAGAGAATTTCCTGTTAGAGAAATATTTGTAAGATGAGACGATCGATTTTTAACATAAAGCATCAAAAATAACAACCAAGAGTGTATCAGTGCCGGTAGCAGTGAGGGTTGTTAACAGGCTCATTTTTC